ATAGGTACCTGTGGATGATCCTAAGAGACCAAGTCTGAAGAGACAGTCCCCAGGCAGAGTAGGCCTTATATTTATACCTCTGTGGTGGAACCTGCTAGAACATGTTGCTTACTCAGCCTAGTCAGGTGATCAGGTCATATGACCAAGGATGAGGTCATATGAGGTCATGCACAGCCATGCACAGCAGGTCACCTGACCATCCAATCCTTCCAGCAGGTTCCAGCACATGCCAAGGTATACCAGCTACTTCCATGTCATAAAGGCTTAGTCATGTCTCTTGACCAAGCAATGAGCTGGTGCCCTGACAGATTGCAAGGCAGTTCATGCCAGTGACAAGGAGGTGCACCCCTTTTCTTCCTATTTTCGAACCATGACTGACGTTCAAACAGCCAGATGTGAACCTTGAAGCTGCAATCAAGGCTGAACAAGCAGTTTGGAATGTGCTGCCTGAGATCAAGAAGACTCAACATCTGAACATTGTTCAGATGTACCAAATGGCCGGCATTGAAAGAAACCTGGCACTGCTGGATCCGAAGGTAGAGACACCAGTTCCCTTGCCCAAGAAGGCAACCCCGGTGCACATGCCCATGAAGCCAGCTTCCACTTGAACTCATCCAAAAACAACTGTCATTGTGGAGATCCCAGCTTGGCACTCCCAGTTGAGGGTTTCCATCTCTGCCGCTGCTTCTTTGCCTTCTCTGCCTCCCAAGTCCCCATCTGTGGTCAAGTCGACGCCTGCTCCTGATGACAATAAGAAGAAGCCTGGCAAGATGCCGAAGAATGAGCTCAGTGAGGAGCTCCTGGCTCTGGCTGCCAAAGCCAAGCCTGATCTGTTGCCCATGGTCAGATGGTGTAAGTCAATTTGAGCTTCAAATGTTCCCTTTGCTGACTCATCCTAGGTACTCCAGTCTCATATGTTGAGGGCACTTGATGGCACAACCAAGGCCACTCAGACATCTGCTGAGTTCAATGTTCTGGTAAGTCTTTGAATTGGTGTTTGTACCTCAGCTAACATCTTGTCTAAGCTCAATCTGGATCATCTCTGTGGGGACCACCTGTCCATCATGGACATTTGTTTATCTCCTGTCTGGCCGGTGTTGTACTTCATGAAGGTGAAAGGATTCAAGAACATAAGTGTGCCTGTCTTTGTTTTGGCTTTTTGATTCTGACTTTCGAACAGACCTTCCAAGTCCTACACAAGAATCCCATTCCTGTAAGTCTCATCTTTTACCCTTTCTCTTTGGACCTGACCATGGAGTAGTGCGACATGTGCAGCTCCAATAAGACCAGCCAATGGTGCACTGGTGGCTAGAACCATTCAACTACCAACTGGAAGGGTGAGCTGAAGAGGATTAGTTGCTCATGCAACTCATGCTGGTGCAAGGGCTACAGCTGTAGCTTCCTCACATGCAGTAAGTGTTCTTCTAGCCTTTTTTTGGAATCTGTGACTGATTTCAAACAGATAAGGAAACTGCCAGAGAGGGCTCAAAGGCTGCTGGTTCAAAACACAAGGCAACAGTCAATGTAACTGGTGATGACTCGAAGAGGCCCAACAAGAGGGCGAAATCTGGTACCATGAAGATGGAAAGTGAACTGTGTTCACAATCCTGGATGTGGTTGTGAGTACGGAGATGGCATGGAGGGACGCAGATTCTCCTGCATTATTGAAGTATTCCGGCATGTTCTGTGAGTCCTTCATTATTGTTTTCGATACTTCTTCTAACATGTTTTGAACAGTGCAGTGCCTTCACCACCTCATCTGCAACTTTCACATCATGCACACCATCCTGAGTGAGAGCCTTCGCATGCTCCACTCTGACATCAAGAAGTCTGGCAAGCTGGATGACAATGACTTCTTGGTCATGGTTGCGCCTTGGAACACTTGCAAGGCTGCCAATGCCATCTACCACATCAAGAGGGGCAAGCTGATTCCCATGGTTGATGAAGAGTTGGAGAAGACCCAGGTGGCCTATCACTGTCGTCATGACAACTCAAGCAAGAAGGGCAAGTGCTCGCACCAGGTGGACAAGGGCAAGCAGCAGGCCAAGTGTATGTGTCTTGATTTCGATTTCAGATTCGCTTGAACCAACTTTTGGAACCAGAATTTTTCTTTATATCTGTGTCTGCTGGTTTTGATTCAAGGTGTCAATACAGAGTAGTGGATGGTATCAAGGGAGCAGGATCATAGATAGAATTATCCCGATTTTGACATGTATGATAGTTATGTGCAGTGGAAAGAAATAGTGCCCAAAAACAATCATGTGATTTTTGAGTGATGGTCTTATATAATTTTGTATCAACAGAAATACACTTCTTGGTATGGGTATAGTGAAGTCTGTTTCCTCCTATTGTTTTTGTTCAAATCTTTGTTCCGAGATCAAATCGGAGGGCAAGCTGGTCCAAATCCTTTTCTTGAACTTTGAAGTCTTCTCCTTCATCTCTGTCTTCCATGACATCTCCATCTATCTCCTGGTTCTTGCTTTCCTCCTCTTCTTCTTCTGCTTCCTTGTTTGAATGTTCAAATTCTGCTTCATGGTCCAGTTTGTTCACTTTGAAGTCCATGTTCTCAAGATTTCAAAGGACTGTCTCAACTGTGCTCAACATGTCTTTCTGGGCTAGATAAGGAATCACCCTGAACTTAGCAATTGTATGTTGGAATATCAAACTGTTGAGTCTGGCCACTATGTAAGCGCCTCTGGATCTCTGCTTGACAACAATATATGGTCCCATATACCAACTCTGCATCTTGTTGTGGAGGGGGCCATCCTGTCTGCTGTTCCTGATGAGGACTAAGTCGCCTGTTTCAAAGTCATGATTGTACATCAGTGTCAGGGCACCAGCTCATTGCTTGGTCAAGAGACATGACTAAGCCTTTATGACATGGAAGTAGCTGGTATACCTTGGCATGTGCTGGAACCTGCTGGAAGGATTGGATGGTCAGGTGACCTGCTGTGCATGGCTGTGCATGACCTCATATGACCTGATCACCTGACTAGGCTGAGTAAGCAAGATGTTCTAGCAGGTTCCACCACAGAGGTATAAATATAAGGCCTACTCTGCCTGGGACTGTCTCTTCAGACTTGGTCTCTTAGGATCATCCACAGATACCTATACTGTAGATAGGTCTTAGTCATCAGGTCTACTCC